TTAAACATGGCAGACCATTTGCGTGTTAACAGGTTTTTAGAACACGATAAGTTGCAACACACTATACATCGCTCTGGCGCCACCTACATTGCATGCAACCACCTGCAGATGCGTGATAAGACTCTGGAATGTTTAGTTAGCAGTCAGTAACTTGACCTCGTTGTTTACTTAACCGACTATAAAGGAAAATGCTTTGCCTTCTTCAAGCTGTGTGTATCAGCCAGTAGCTAGTGGGGAGAATGGATCAAGGACAAATTCTCCTCCGATGCCCTAGCTGACCTGCCTTGTGAGACGCGTAGTAATAGATTAATTGTCATTCAGACAGTGACAGTGACGTGGGACAACAAAGAATTGTGGCCACAGACAGTAAAAGTGACAGTAGCTCCGACGATAATGCGGGTAATAACATTGCACGTAGTAACATTGCGAGGACAGCAAAAAATCTAAACCCTGATTCAGAATTGAAATACAAAGCATTTCTGATGAATGTGGCAAAGGCCCGGGCTACAGTCCAAATGGTGGCGACAGAACCAGGGTCACACAAAGACTTAGTATGACTGGGCCCATCAACTTCCACCCCACGAAGACTACATGTGGACCCCCCAGGGCGACTCTTGAGTGATATGCGGAAAAATACCCCCGTGAAAATTGTGAAGAGTGAACATTCCAAGTGGAAGAATACTTTTAGGCAATGCCGTGTTTGCACAGTTCACAAAAAAAGGAGTATGTCTAGATTTGCAAGTTCTGTGTAATACCACTTCACAAAGGGAAAACTTTCCAGAAATATCACGCCCTCAAGCACTTCTAGGAGCACTGGTAAGTGCTCTCCAAAAATTTTAGTTCAAAAAAATTATTTTTTTTTTTTTCCTGTGGCACTAGAGCCCCAATTTGGGCCTGGGCCTACCTCCATGAAACTCCGTTTCACTTCGGTTTACTAGATCTTACACATATGGTAGGACTCCTTGGGCGAGTGATCAGCTCGTCGCAAGGCCTCTACCTGTAGACAAACACAGAAAAAAACACACAAACATCCATGCCCTGAGTGGGATTCGAACCCACGATCCCAGCTTCCTAGCGAGCAAAGACAGTGCATGCCTTAGACCACTTGGCTACCGTGACCGGCAAAAAGTTAATTAGGAGATTATATTAATTTTTAAAGTGAACAGTGCACAAGTTAGGGTAGTGTGTTTAAAAATGCCGTTCCCCAGGGCGATTTAAATATTTAAATCAACGGTCTGCGAAGTGTTAACCCTTTGACGCGGTAATTTAAATTCCGCGGCTGCGTCTCCTGCGGTAATATATTCAGCCGGCCATTTAAATTTTGCTCGAAAATGATTTATTCATCATTGTTCTTAAATTCTATGAGATAGGAACATGAAACTTTCACTAAAATGATCTTAAAAGGTGGTTTTATAACCTTACCTTATAATATGAGCGCCCTTTATATCTTCAATGGAAGCAGGTTTTTTAGTATTTGAGCAGTGAATGGTACGCCTTGAAGCATGAAACTTTCACTAAAATGATCTTAAAAGATGGTTTTTATAACCTTACCTTATAATATGAGCGCCCTGTATCTCGGTAATGGAGGCAGTTGGTTTAGTAGAAGGAAGGCCTTGAAGCATTCGTATAACCCAACGGTGCCTCACATTCACCATTCTCCGCTCCAATATTGTGTATTTTTTTTGGCCCTTTTTTTTAACCACACATTTGTGCTGCCTTGCCTTCTTACCCGTGAGGGGTATAGTTCAAGGAAATGTCTTTCCGTGACCCGTTTAGTTGCCAGGTCAGCTGTAGTAAATTCAACGTTACGAGTTATCATAACAAGGGGTTGTTGCTATGCCTTTGATATTCCATCCATTTTGGCGGCAGGAGATGTCGTAGGGGTGACCACAGAATTCATGAAGTTATTCTAAGAACTGTCTGGTATCTAGTGAACGAAAGTAGAGCTTAGCTGGCTCAAAAAAATATTTATGGTCATCCCTCGAAACGACCACCAAGGTCAGTACGATAAAATGGCGTCAACTTGAGCGATAATACATGAAGGAATGAGTTCTTTTTCCCTCCCCCACACACATCCGTATCGTCTCAGGGGGTGACCACAGTGTTCTGCCTTAAATTGTGGCGTTTTTCTAAGAACTGGGCCTTTGTACTGTGCGAAATCAATGGATCATGCGAGAATAAACTTATGGACATCCTTTATTCTAAGAATTCCAATTGAGTGTGTTAGAGTGGCCAGCTCAGGACAATATTCTATTACAAACATCACGTCTCTTCTGTTTATATCTTCAAAGCAAAGTAAACATGCCTTTCATAACAGCTTGAATGAGGAACCTCTACCAGAAGCAACAGGAACTTATATGTAACGATGACGTGGCGCAGATAAAGTCGTGTCTTATTTGTACTCTGTTCTACTGACAACAGGCCAGCGAAAAATCTAACAATCTACAGCAAAACCATCAATTATTATGGGCATTATAACATAGGTGTGCCGCTGAACGAAACATACACGTCGAACCCCCCCAGACGATTTAAATCCCTGACGAAACATACACGACGAACCACGGCAACGGGTTAATAGCAGACATTGGCGATGATGGACGTCCTGGCCCCCCTATTAGTCCATTATAATGAGGGTTTACTGTATTTGCTCAGCCATGAGCACACAAAATCTCCAGTTGTCTTGTACCAGATGAAGCCAGTCCATGGCCAATTTATTGAAATATAGATTTGTTAGTTGCATATTCCAGTCTTATTACTTCAATTTTCAATATGTTCAGTGGCCACATGATTGCCACGCACACACACACACACATAATTCACCCATTTGTCCACATTATTGTCCTGTGTTTGCTAGGCAACGTGACAAGAAAATTCACGCGGTTTTCGGATTTGACTATTATGTTTATTGGACGCTCACTTTTATGCTTACAAGAACAATTATTCATATTACAGTTACTGCTTCGAAGCCAACTGAAGACTGACTATTCTTCTAAGGTCAAATGCGAAACTGAACTCATCTCTTGTCACAGTTGGACTCTTATAACTTCCACGTGGACTCTGTAAGGAATACCATGTTGAAGGGTTCATTCTGCTTGCTGCAATCGAAACGTTACTTCAACAATTCTTGTGTAATGGTGGAAACTCCACTGTTAGGAATTGCTAACGTTCTGCTTCCTAGCCACTGTCGTGGGAATGTTGATCATTGCATAGGAAATCAACTCTGATTTCAACAATTCCTTGCGGCTTTCTGGTGACACACCAAATTACTATTACTTCATAGGTGGAATTAATAATACCACAGTATCCTTCCAACTGATCTTTTGTTTGTGTATTATACATGAAATGCTAGCTGTAACACATTTTCTGGTGTGCAGCCTTTGTATGTCGGCCGTGCCCAGAAGAAAGCTGAGCGCCAACAAGAGCTTAAACGCAAGTTTGAACAACTTAAGATTGAACGACTTAACCGCTACCAAGGAGTAAACCTGTATGTAAAGAACCTGGATGACACTATTGATGATGAACGTCTCCGTAAGGAGTTCACTCCATATGGAACCATTACCAGTGCCAAGGTAAAGAGACCATTTCTATACTAATGCTTTGTCCTCATGGGAGTTGCATTGCTGCTTGTGAATCATATTGCATAGAAATATTAAATTGCACATACCACCAGCCAAAAGCTGATTCATCCATAGGATTCATGAGTTTACCAGACGGCAGTCAGCATATGCGTAAACCATCAAGTGTTACCTGCATTTGTGTCTCTTAAGCAGCTGTGACAGAAGTGATGCTGCTTTACTTTTGTGTGCGCGCACGCTTGTGTGTGGAGAGGGTGGAAAGTTCAGATATTTGAGAACGCCAGTAAAAGTAAGTAAAGTAAAGTTATCCCTATAACAGGCTGTGGAGGCCCATAGGGTTGTCAGATGTTTAAGTTCCCACATTTTCTAGATGATCCACTCATAGATGGCGGCAAGGTTGTCATCCTTACGTGCAGGCTGCCCTTTACCTCCAAGAATATTCCTGGTACTCAGTTCTGTTAGAGGCTTAGTCAACCCCAGGGCCATAGTGCAGCTGGAAGGATTAGGTCAATTGAAAGAAATCCAGTGACCTCATCAGGACTTGAACCCGCAAACTTCTGGCTTGTAGCTTAGTGCCTCAACCAAATACACTGAATGCCAGTAGCAAATCAAAAATTTGATTCATGGGCAAATTAAAAAAAAAGTAGATTAAATTCAAGTAATGCTCTCTACCATTCACTTCAGAACCTTATATGTTCTCATCTGCCAAGGTTAAAGTATACAAAACTGTAATTTTGGCAGGTTTTGTATGGGTGGGAAAATTTATCTCTGACATTAAGGAAGAAACGTACACTGAGGGTGTCTGAGAAGAAGATAATGGCTGAGGAGAATATTTGGGGCAAAGAGGGATGAAATAATACGTCAGAGAAAATTGCATAATGAGGAGCTTCCTGACTTGTTTCCCTGGTAACTACAGACATTTTAAAAGATTTTAATTTAACGAGCCGTCTGATGTTTGTGAGGAAACAGTGAGGTATCCTTGTTGTTTCTTACAGTAATCCTAAAATACATATAAGTTCCATGCCATCTGGAATCAAGTTGTCCTGCGCTCACACTTCACATGCACAAAAGGAAATGAGATACCATGACTCAGAACACATTTCCATACCACAATTAAAGATGTTAAAGATGTGTTATCGATGTAAGATTTGTCCCCACTTAACATTCAGTTACAAGGATCCCAGGTCAGTCTCAGTATTAAATTTCTTCCTCTTAAGGTTTTGCGGACTTCAATGTTCACATCCACTGCTGCTGGAATGGACCTGACTCTGTGACTTTGGGAAGGTGCAGTCAGTATAGCTGTAGGCTGGACAGCTGAGGCATCAGAGTTTGATTCTTGACAGGGGCTAGAGGCTTTTTATTTTCTTCTTCGCAGTGTCCAGACACAGTTCTGGGTTCTATAGTCGCCTATCCAGTGCTCACAGCAGGGTCCTTCCCCTGATGTGAAGTGGCTGGGATGTGAGACTTTGCCCTTTATGTGTGTGAATCATCGTCCTCCTCCTGCTCCCTCTTCTTCCTCCTGCCTCTTGTTCTTCTACATCATCATCATCATCATCATCATCATCATCGGCAAAAATAGCCCTTTTTGCTCTTACAAAGGTTGAGATGGTCTAATTCAACTGGTTTTCACTTTTTTGCATTCCGCAGCAGTAATTTTTTTACAGAGCAAGGTCCTTATCTTTGTGTCCATCCCCCAACCTGGAGGACCAGGTTCCTGGTTTTATGTCCCTTAGTGACAGGATGCCCAGTTATAACCCCAGGCACTGGGTTTTCTTTTGTCACCTTCTGTGACTTGCAGGATATGGTGGAGATATTCTAGCCTGCCTCCTTACAGGAACTGTATGTGAATACTATTATATATTTAATTTTCCCATAGTTTTTTCTCCATTTTAAGCACACAGTTTTTAGGCAGTCGTCTTGGATTCCAGCAGAAGCTTTGTTTTAATTAGTCGTGACTGATAATTCTTTCAGGTGATGCTGGAGGAAGGCCGCAGCAAGGGATTTGGCTTCGTGTGCTTCTCGTCTCCAGAGGAAGCTACAAAGGCTGTAACAGAGATGAATGGCCGGATTGTTGGCACCAAGCCGCTGTATGTTGCACTCGCTCAGCGCAAGGAAGATCGCAAGGCACATCTGGCTTCACAGTACATGCAGCGGATGGCCAACATGCGTATGCAACAGATGGGAACGGTAAGTTCAGTGGACTAGTGCTTTTTATGAGCACACAGTAGTGTGTTCTAATTTCTTCATTTTCAGTTTCTTTTTGGTAAGTTGCCAAGCAGAACATTATAGTTCAATAAGTAGCAGTCCTTTGTATTTGAAAGGCCCCTGATTCTAAGCTTGGAAACTGGCTGTGTCAACTTCAGTTTTGCACGACTTTCATGAGTCCCTGAAGGAGAATTTTGGGATAGTGCCTCCAATTTGGCCATGACTGTTTTCTTCCCCATCTATTCCAATTCACTACTTGTGCTCAGAACAGGAAAAGAAAATGTTCCAATGTTCTTGGAATATAGATAGAACAAGAAAATGGCTCCAACAGGCAATTCATTGGATAGCAGTCGTAAGATCTAAGCTAGTGTAAGCGTCATGGCACAAACTAAGAATTAATAGGTAGGGTTTTGTGTCTTTAACTGTTTCTCATTCCAGTCCTGTAATTTAGAATTCATGCTTTCATTCTTCATAATATTGGAAATGTTGGAGGAGGAACAAGACGAGGTTCATTACTCTTCTTTCTCCCTTCTTTCAGCTCCCATTTCATAGTCTGCATGTTGTTATGAAAACGGAAGCTGCATCTGTTCTTGTAGCAGTCAGGGTACTTCACTATAGAAGCACGCTGTGGACGGGACAGCTGAGCTGTTGGAGTTTCATTCCTGGCAGGGGAAAGAGAATTTTATCTCCTCCACAGCGTCTAGGCTGGCTTTGGTCTCACCCAGGCTCCTGTCCACTGGGTACAGGGCACTATTTCCTGGGGCATGAAACTGGCCGTTTGTCTCCATCTAGTGCTGATGTTAAGAATGACAGGTCTCTGCTTTCACTACCCCATATATCTTCATGGCGTAGTGCTTATTAATTAAGCTCAAGGAAGACTTTAAATTTACCTAAATTCATAACTGATGATCATTCCAGTGTCTTAACTCGCATTGTTTTGTGATGTTTTTGGTTTCAGTTGTTTGCCATCTGGTATCAGGTATTTGCCTGTTTTGGCTATCTTTGTTTTTCCATTCTTTCTATATTTTGAGACTTGAAGCTTTTTATTTTCAGTTCAGAGTGCAGTATATTTATTTCCGATCATTATGTATACAATCATGCCTACTGATGTGGCTTGTGTTCGTTCCCTAGCAAATGTTCCAGCCTGGTGGTGCAGGTGGCTACTTCGTACCAACATTGCCTCAGCCTCAGAGGTTCTACGGTCCGGCACAGATGGCTCAGATTCGTGCAACTCCACGCTGGCCTGCTCAACCACAGGTCCGCCCAAGTGCCCAGGCCGGCGCCTCTGGTTTCCCAAATATGCAGGGACCGTTTCGAACGGCCCCTCGTGCTCCAGGTGCTCAACCAGGCTCCATGCGAAATGCACTGTCAGCAAGGCCCATTACAGGTACAAAACTGTTGTAGAATGATGTGTTTTTTGGTTGCCGTGTTTAAGAATCTTTTGCGGTGAAGAAACTTGAGAATTTTGTGATGAGTTGACTGACTGATCAGCTTTCCAAGGGCTATGCCACATGGAATTACATAACAGTTTCCTGGCATAACATAATGTAATCCCACTTCAGTGAAAACGTTGATATTTGATAAGGAAGGCTGTTCCTCCCCAGAGATTTTGTTATATAGCTGTTTCCTTGTATATGGTTGTTTTGTCTTTTTGTCATAAGTAGATATAGGGTCAGAGAAGCATCAGTAGCAGAGCTTATTTAATGCCATATGTATATGCTGTAATGCCAGGTTTACAGTTGAGATTCAGGGAGAGTCAGTAAACAGGTCACAAATGGATATGAAGCATAAAACATGTTATATTCAAACCTGGAAAAAACATTTATTTCTTGACATATCCCTCACCAACATTGATACACTTGTCCCATCGCTTTACCAGTGTGTTGAAAGCCGCAGCATAGAAGTCTTCTGACTGTTGTCTCAGCCACTTCCACACCACTGTTTCAACCTCTTTGTCATCAGCAAAATGTTTGCCACCAAGGCTGAACTTCTTTATGCTACAGACGTTTCCCACTGTAAACAGGAAGCATTTCATTATGAATATCCTTTGCGTTGAGTCCTCTTTCCCCACAAAAATCACACCACAGAATGCTGCTCTTCAGTAGTACACACTGAAGCACAGTTGTCATTTTGACTACTGAAACCAGCCTCTGAACATGCACATGCACATCTACTACCTAGACTGTCATGAAGCTGGACTGTGCTGGTACCTAGCGACAACTACAGAAAACCTATTACATCATTACAGCTGCTTTACTTCCATTTGTGACTTGTTTATTGACTCCCTCTATCACACATTTTAATGTTAACACTACAGAAAAAGCATCTTTGATGTATGAATTGTGGTATTCCTGTATAATGCATATGAATCTTGCGAAATTCACTAGTTGAGGTTAAATGGAGTCAGGTGGATGACTTTATAATACTGACAGAGTCAGTCAGTCTTTGATTTTATGACTCCACATGTCAGTGCTTGGCTTTGTGCCTTGAATCTACATTCACCGACAGTGACTTCAGTAGTTTCTGACTTGAAACACCAGTGGCCAACAGGAACATTGCCAGTTAGGCTGAAGTTGTCCTTGTGCTTAACACATTGAGGCCCAGTCACATGATATCATGATTTTAGGACATGTTAGGTTGTAACACACTATACCTTGCTCTGGCGCCACCCAGGTTGCACGCAGCTGCGTAATAAAACTCTGGATTACCTGTCAGTAACTTGACCTCGCTGTTTTCTTAACCCACTATAAAGGAAATTGCTCTGCTGCTCTTCAAACTGTATGTATCAGCCAGTAGTTAGTGGTGGAGTATGCATCAAGGACAAATTCTTCTCCGATGAGCTAGCTGACCTGCCTTGTGAGATGCGTAGTCATGGTGATTCAGAGAGTGGCAGTGACAGGGGAGAACAAAGAATTGTGTCCACAGACATTAAGAGTAACAGTAGCTCCGACGATGATGTGGGTAATAACATTGCGGGGACAGTAAAATATCTAAACCCTGATTCAGAATTGAAATACAAAGCATTTCTGATGAATGTGGCAAAGGCCTGGGCTACAGACCAGATGGTGTTGGCAGAACCAAAGTCAGACACAGACTTAGTGCGACTGGGCCCATCAACTCCCACCCCACGCAGGCCTCATGTGAACCCCCCAGGTCGACTCTCGGGTGATATGTGGAAACCCTCGTGAAAATTGTGAAGAGTGAACATTCCAAGGGGAAGCATCCTTCTAGGCAGTGCCGTGTTTGCACAGTTCACAAAAAAAGGAGTATGTCTACATTTGCAAATTCTGTGTAATGCCACTTCACAAAGGGGAAAGTTTCCAGGAATATCACACCCTCAGGTGCTTCTAGGAGCATTGATAAGTGTTAGCCAAAATTAATTAGGAGATTTTATATTAATTTTTAAAGTGAACAGTGCACAAGTTACGATAGTAGGTTTAATAATGGCAGCCCCAAGGTGATTTAAATATTTAAATCGCCGGTCCTTAATGTGTAAACTAGTTAAGCACTATGCCATGAAGGCGCATGGGGTGGAGGTATAGATCCACATTTTCTTGACCTCGGCACTAGTTTGAGTTGGGTGTTCAGCTTCACGCCGCTGCCCCTCTACCTCTGGGGAAAGGGCCCGCAGTACCCATTGTAACATTGCTAGTTGCATACTTATGAGAACTGTTCAGCTGGATGTGTATTCTGAATGTTATGAGACTGCAGCTGCACTCTTGAGCGTCTGGAGCTGACATGAACATCTGACGAGTGTTGCTTGTTTTCGGTCCATGTTGGGGCCTGGCATTCAAATGTATGTGGAGGCAATGATCATTAACCCTTTGACGTGGTCATTTAAATTCCGCGGCCGCGGCTCCTGCGGTAATATATTCAGCCGGCCATTTAAATTTTGCTCGAAAATTATTTATTCATCATTGTTCTTAAATTCTATGAGATAGGAACATGAAACTTTCACTAAAATGATCTTAAATGGTGGTTTTATAACCTTACCTTATAATATGGGCGCCCTGTATCTCGGCCATGGAAGCAGGTTGTTTAGTATTTCAGNAGCTCAGGGTAATATGATATTATCAACATCGTAAATATCACGTCTCGGTTGTTTATATCTTCAAAGCAAAGAAAACAGGCCTTTCATAACGGTACAGCTAGAATCCGCTCGCCAGAGCCACAGGAATTTTGCTGCAAGACAGGCATATGTAACGATGACTTATCTCAGCTAAACTCGTTGGCTTAGTATACTCTGTTCTTGTGACAACAGGCCAGCGAAAAATCTAACAATCTACAGCAAAACCACCAATTATTATGGGCGTTATAACATAGGTGTGCAGCTGGACGAAACAGACACGCCGAACCCCCCCAGATGATTTAAATCCCTGACGAACCATACACGACGAACCACGGCAACGGGTTAAATGGTGACCGATACTATATTACATCTTCATGTGAATATTTTCAAATGGTAGACCTGGCAGGAATTGTTATATGTTTATTTTGCATGCATGTGTGGACATTTATTGGTCCAGGACAGCAACCAGTGGGTGCAGCAAACATCCAGGGTCGTCCAATGGCGCCCACAGTGTCTGTGTCAGCGCAGGGCCGCCAAACCAACTACAAGTACACAGCAAATATGCGCAACCCACCACAGCCGATACCAGTTGCTCAGCAGCCCCCTGTCCAACAGGTACAGACAAGTTTACAGAATTCTGAGAATGAGGGTATTGTCCACTTGACTAATTTTTTTCACTGTAAATTCATCTTATGATTTCAGCATTTCTCCACATCACTGAAGTTTACTGCCATTTTCTTTTGAAGTCCTTTATAATGTAAAGTTTTCTATATGTCGTTATTTTAGCCTGCTTTTCTTATTTTGAAAAAATATTAGCCCTGCTGTCTGGCTGGCTGGTCCCCACCCATAAACTTTTGAATAGCTGACTCAATCTTCATGAAACTTGGTATGTATATCATGGAGGGAAAACCATATTACAGAACTATATGATTGACCTAATTGGCCAGAAACCTTGAAAGTGGAACCGGAAGAAGTTGATACAGATGAGAAAGGACCATATATTTTACAAAGTGAGGTGGAAAAAGCTATCAAGGACATGAGGAATGGAAAGGCTACAGGAGATGATGATGTCCCTGAAGATGTGCTGAAGTTACTGGGAGAAGGTGGTTTGAAAACACTGACAAAACTAATAAACACCATATATGAACCTGGGGAGTGGCCCAAGGACTTTACAGAAGTTACAATGATTGCCTTAAAGAAAAAGACAAAAGCTACAAAATGCAGCGACCATTGCCAATAAGCCTTATGGCACATACAGCGAAGATAATAGCAAAGATACTTAAAAGAAGAATTGATAGGAAAATGGAGGATATACTTGGAGAGGATCAGTTTGGATTTAGAAGAGGAAAAGGAACCAGGGATGCAATTGGGATGATGAGAATTATAGCAGAACGAACTTTGGAGATAGATGAAGAACTGTGCGCTTGCTTTATAGACTGGCAGAAGGCATTTGACCATGTAAATTGGACCAAATTGATGCAGATCCTAAAGGAAACAGGTATCGATTGGCGGGAAAGAAGATTGATTAGTAAATTGTACATGGATCGAGAGTTAGAGTATGACTGGACAGAGGGGAGACAAGAAGTGTGCAGATTGGAAGAGGAGTTCGACAAGGATGCTGTTTATCACCAATTCTGTTCAACTTGTACAGCGAATGCCTTACCAAGGAAGCTCTGGATGGGCTCGGTGACTTCAAAGTAGGAGGGCAAATTATTCAATCTGTGAAATATGCAGATGACCTTGTGTTAATGGCTAAGGAAGAAACTGTGCTACAGGGCATGATTGATAGACTAATTGAAATTGGAAGGTGCTATGGCATGGAAATGAATGTGGAGAAAACAAAAGTAATGAAAATTTCGAGACAACCAACCCCAGTCACAATAAAGATAGACCAAAAACAACTGGAGAATGTGAAATGTTTTAAATATTTGGGTAGCTTGTTAACAGATGATGGAAGGTGTACTTGTGAAATTAAATCCAGGATTGCCATGGCAAAAGCTGCATTTAGCAAGAAGAAGAATCTTTTTACCAGCAAATTGGACTTAAATTTGAGGAAGAAACTAGTGAAATGCTACATTTGGAGCATAGCTCTGTATGGGGCTGAAACATGGACACTTAGGGCAGTAGATCAGAAACATCTGGAAAGTTTCGAAATGTGGTGTTGGAGAAGGATGGAGAAGATCAGTTGGACCGATTATGTGAGAAATGAAGCGTTATTTAGAGTCAGTGAACAGAGGAATATCCTACACGAAATAAGAAAACAGAAGGCTAATTGGATTGGTCATATCTTACGCAGTAACTGCCTTCTAAAATAAGTTATTGAAGGAAAGATAGAGGGGCGGATAGAAGTGACCAGAAGACGTAAGAAGATGCTGGATGACCTTGGGGACAGAAGAGGATATTCTCATTTGAAGGAGAAAGCTCTGGATCGCATCAGGTTTTGGAAGAGACTGTGGACCTGTCATCTTGACAGATTACTGATCAATGAATGAATATCATGGTGTCTGAACACATCTTGGCAACATATTTCATAAATCCCTCATGTTAGTCGGTGTGTGTATCCCCCGTTTTGTTGCCTGACAGGGGCTTGTTAAAAAATGTTTCTCCAGCAACAAATATACATGCAACAGTAGAAAAATTGTTGGGTGCATTGTTTTCTGTGAGGTCTGCATCATATCAAAGTAAGGTAGGTGATCAGTTCTTCCTCGAACTTAATAATGAAAAGTTTTCACATGTCATTCTGATGCATCAGCTTGTTCGTGTGTTACTGCAGACGCACTAATCTCAGAAGTTGGTGAAGTGTGAGACTGGATCAGAAGTTAAATTGTGATTGAATTTTTTTTGTCCGGTCCTGAAAATTGAGACTTTGACGTGCTCTCTGTACAATGTTTTACATTCGTAAAAGGGACTACCTGAACCAAGTGTAAAGTGAAGGTATTAGAAATGCATTAAGGAAATTAAGGCATGTCTATTTGTATTAAAGAAAACTGGTCATTGGTGTTTCGCTAGTCCCTTTTGGTCCTTGAGGCTATTTCGGATGATGTTTTCCAGGCTGTGCACATTCAGGGGCAGGAACCTTTGACTGCATCAATGTTGGCAGCTGCACCACCACAGGAGCAAAAGCAGATGCTGGGTGAGCGTCTGTTCCCATTGATTCAGCGTATGTATCCAGACTTGGCCGGCAAGATCACCGGTATGCTGTTGGAGATAGACAACTCTGAGCTTCTTCACATGCTTGAACATCACGAGTCCCTCAAAGCCAAGGTAACATGAATTTGTGACAGAGAAACATCTCAACTTGAATACAGCCTTGTGGGTTGTAACAGCATGTGGTTTCGAGAAAGCCTGGACAGCTGCGTGCTGCTTCGGGTTTCCTGCTTGGCCTGCTCTTCAACTATGAAGATAAAAGTGATATGTTCCTCTGAAATGTTTGGTTCATTTCCCAAGTACATGATGATATATCTCAGGAAACCATAGATCTCAGATCCAACAACTTAACTTACTCCTTGCTTCTACAGCCCTTGAAGAACTATTATGTCTTTATGATGTGACCATTCTCCTCAGTTATTTATAATTTTACCTCCATCTCTCTTGCTCTGACTGGAGACATCCAAGTTTGAAGAATTGGAAGAGATTCTGTGCAAGAAATGTTCGCATTTCATCTGCATCGGTTCCTGAGCTATCCAGTTGAGGGTTAAGTTCGGTGTAAGCACTGGGGTTGAATTTTGCATCCCCTGCACATGTTACATTAACTATGCAGTACATAAAATGCAAATGGATGTCACAGTGGGCTTCTATGAGTTCACATCCTGCTGAAGCTGTTTACTTCTCTCATGCATCATGCATCATGCAGCAATTGAGTGTTGAAGTGTTAAGTTTTGATGTTTGTGTATTTGCAGTGTTTGAAGTTGACCACTGTTTGTTTTGTGCAGGTGGAAGAAGCTGTGGCTGTGCTTCAGGCCCACCAGGCCAAGCAGGCTGCATCCCATGTGAAGAAGGAATAAATTTACATCTCCCCACATTCACTGTAAAACCAGGCGGTCGTCCAACATAATCTCATGGTCAAGTGTTGATGGTGATGACCTGAAGATGACAATTTAAAGGGACGACATTCCTATGCAGCTGAATTCCATTACTGCCTGGTTGTTTCATTCCGAGGAGGTCACGTGAATTGAGCATGATACGAGGACATTTTCTCTCTCTCTCCTTTGAATTCTTAAACTTTAAAAAGATACATTTTGCTTATAAAATGTAAATGTAGCATTGTGGTTTTAATTGTTCACCATTGGTTGGTTGAAATAATTCTCGACACCTACAGTTCTCTGCTACCTTGACTGTGCCGAGAGACCATTTGTTGGGTGTTAGAAAGCTACAGAAATACGTATATAATAAGAAACAAGAAAGTGGGGTCAACTTCCAGCCCTTAGCATAAAACGCTTGGGGAAAAAATATATGTATAAGTTGTGTAATGTTACTTAGAGACATTTTTACCAATGTTACATTAATGGACAAACCTTTAGTACATAATTGAACCCTATGGTCAAAATTTTCACAATAAGGGTCCGTGTTACAGGTAGAGGGAAATATTCTGTCATTTTCTGTCTTAAAACAGGCAGGCATTAATATAGTAACTCACAGTTTGAACATTTGTCCTGGTTTCAAGTAATTGACATGGAAAACCAGAGTTCAGAAATAACTAATGTATCATGTGACGACCTAAAATGAATCAGTTATATTTGCTGAAATTTATATGACGTTGCATAAAGCAAATAAATTATTGCCAGCCCATAAAATGCCATGCCTTCCTCAACCTTGCAAAAGTAGTTTAAAAACTGTGGACTAATCTGAAAACCAATGAAAAACTAAGTAACTGGAACACAACAGACAATATCATATATATATTTATTGGGTGTTAGAAAGCTACAAAAATATGTATATAATAAGAAACAAGAAAGTGGGATTAAGTTATGCTTGAGGAAAAAAAAATTATATATTTTCCCCAAGCGTAACTTAAGATTAAATATTTAAACAAAAAGCCTTGGGGTGGGGTGGGGTTATTTTGCTATGGGCCGGAAGTTGATCCCACTTTCTTGTTTCTTATTATATACATATTTATAACGTCATATAAATTTCAGCAAATATAATTGATTCATTTTAGGTCGTCACATGATACGTTAGTTATTTCTGAACTCTGGTTTTCTGTGTCAATTGCTAGAAACTAGGACAAATGTTCAAACTGTGAGTTACTATATTAATGCCTGCCTGTTTTAAGACAGAAAATGAGAATATTTCCCTCTACTGTAACACAAACCCCTATTGTGAAAATTTTGACCGTAGGGTGCAATTATGTACTAAATTTTGCCCATTAATGTAACATTGGCAAAAATGTCTCTTAAGTAACGTTACACAACATATTGTTTTTGAAAACCCATACATAAAAAGAGAAAAATGTGGATGTACTACCAAAATCGATAACAATTGTAAAAAAAATCTAAAAAAATGATTGTATAAACATGTTTCCTGGTCCAAAATCTCTTCAGTAATACTTCAAAATTGGTAGATGAAAATGTAAATCCAACTTCTGGATAAGATTTAAGTATCAGAATTACTAGTAAGTATAATATGAAATATGTAATTTCAGTGGAAAATCAAGGTTAATAATGATAATAAAGTCTTTTCTTTTCAGAGTTTCTTTGCTGTTCCTTGTATTTTGCTTCCTACAAAATGCCATTTTCGGTCTGTCCAGTATTCCAGCCACATACTTGTGAAATGAGTAAAGTAATTATTTTATTGTGATATAATTTGTTGAGTTTGATGTTCTCACAGTGTGACTATAACTTCCCTTTGCTCCTATTGGTTTGTTCCTAGTTCCTTTACCTGGGACACTGGAGTGGCTCAGCAGTGATTAACTTATTGAGGACTAGTCCATGGAATCAAAGTACTCTACAGCAATTAAGAATTTGGTTTGCACCTGCAAGAAAAAACTGCATTTCTGTTGTGGTTGGCGGTGTACCAACCTTCCTCCACATTGGGTACACATTCTAAGGTTCAGAAATCATTGCTGATTTTGGCATTTCCAATGCACATGCGTTTTTCTGTCTCATTTTTACTTGGAAGCATCCAGATATTCCTGTTAATCAGCAGGTCAGATTGTAAAGCATGTAGAAAGAAGCGGCCATACCCGAATGAGGTACTATCCCAGCATTTGCTAGGAGGGACTGAGGAGAACCTCAGGATAGGTGATTGGCCAAGATTCGAAATTGCCGCCTCCTGAACACAAGTCAAAAATATTACTTGAGCCTGTTTGCTTAATGAATCTGAATGAGTCATTAGTGAACACTGGTTTTAGAGGGTACTTTTACACTGTACCAAAGGTCTTGGGTTCACATACTTTAAAGTGTCTTCCTTTCTGTTATCTCTGATAAGGTAAATCTGTAATGAATATGAAGAAAACCCTGCCTCACCACCGAGGTTTAGAGATCATGCAATGTAATTTCCTTCTGTTGGCTATTCATCATTGGAGATAATGGGGCCAGTGTCATAGGTCACCAATCTCAGAAATTGACAGAGGTCAGGAAGGTTGCTAACACCATAAGTGGAGGCATCAGTCACAATAACTGATTTACATGGGTAATGTGGAGCAGCTTCGTTTGGCATTGGGTGTTGAAGGAGCTTCGACAGAAAATAGATCACTGGATGTTATACAGACTGCATGGAGCAGAGGTCCATGAGAAGCCAGAGGTCATTCAGCTGCTTGAGAAATTTCCAGCACTTTACGGAAGTGAAAGCTTCGTTGCTCTTTTCACAGTACTCAATCCAGTACATGCTGACCCACTCTACACCTCTAAAAGCCATTTTAGTTGTTCACCTGTCCAAAGACTTTTCTTTAAGTTCTCTGACCCAAATGTTATATTTCTGGTAATGCCCATGCTTGCTAAATGCCCACAAATCTAATGTCCCATGTTATTTCATAGTATTGAGTACAAGATCCTTGTTCCACATTTTCTCCAGTCTCCTGTTACTTCTTAGGTACTAATAATATCATGAGCACCCTCAAGCTGCTTTTTTCCATTGATACAACAGACTAAGTTTCAGTGTGAAATTCACACCCATTCAAAACTACAGGTAAAATTACTGTTCTGTATGTTTTAGTCTTGTTTTCAGATAGCAGAGGGGAGGACAAAATATTCTGTACTCACTGGTGGCAAACATTCTGTGAATTTAATATTCTCATAATTTTTTCGTGAATATAATTTGTAATTGTTACCTTACTCACTAGCAAAAAAAAAAAACGGTTCAGATGATGGCGTGTAAAATTCTGTATTGTGACATAATGGTCCGAGAAACAGAACAGTATCAGTAATGAGCGCTTTGAATGAAAGTATATGGTTGGTTTGTATTGTAGTATTTCTAATTTTGCATATTTATGACGGGACTGTAGAGGAACACAGTTTGTTTGGCTGTTCGGTATTGAGGCTAGGTTATGTTACCAGGCGTGGGAGCTCTTAAAAAGAGTTCCACATTCATTTCCAGTAATCGAATAGAGCATTACTGATGTACTGTTCCTCGTGCTTCGTTTAGATATGCAGTTCAGCCTTGCAACCTATTGTGTGGGCAGCAGTGCTTATATAATGGAAAGATGACGCATGATTTGACCATCTGGAACACTGGACATACAAATATTGGTATAGTGCCTTATTGCTGTCACTGCATCATGCGTTCTCTACTAAAGTACTTAAATGGAAGCTGTAGTAGTGTGCAAGAATACAGGTACTGATGTCACCAAAACAATAATTTAAAAGATGTTAGAAACAGCAGACAAATAGTGAGTTATAGTATTTAAGTTCAGTATCGTCAGCTTGCTGTGGAGCCTCAGTGTTCCGTGGACTCTGTGGACATATTTTGGAACATCTATTAAACAGCGTAACCACCTATAACTGTCCCTGAATTCATGTTTTGAGTGCAGTTAGTAACCCCAACATAACTGTTGTAATCTAGCTAAGCTTCCTAACCTTTATTCATTTTGTTTTTTATTTGTTGTTACTAACGCAAACATAAATTAATTTAAATTCCAGAAGTAATTGGTGTCTCTCTTGTAAAATTATAGTCACATTTATCCAGTGCAGTTTTGTTAATGATTGCCAGCCACAGAAATAATGGGTTAAAGTGCCGAAGGAGTGTGACAGTATGCCTCCATGACACTGATTATACTGGTTTAGTTTTGTTGACACTGTCTATTTAAATATCACATACCTTTATGTAAAATCATAATTTTTTGTGGCTGTATTTTCTTATTTGTGTGTGTATTACGTGGTTTGAATAGGTGGCCCAGGAAGCTGCTAACATGATTGAGTTTCTTTGTTTTTCCTGTGTTCTGCTAGGGCCATTACCTTTGTTTTCATGTCCTTAATTCATGATTCATAGCCACTGTGTCAGTTGATGCATGTAAGCTATGGAACTAACACAGTATGATTAAAAATGAAAGCAAGACCATCTGCAAAAACAATTGTCTTCCGCTACTTTCCCTGTTCTTAATTTAGGTGTGACTTTTTATGTTCTCAGCTAACAATGGAGCTTTCTATGACCCTTGATGTGGGTGATGTGGATGGATTTGGAGGTCTTTTGGGTATTCCTCTTGGCCAGCCACATGCTCTAGAAGCCCATGGTACTAAGCGCAGAAGGTAAGGTGTGAAAGTCATATGATTTGAAGCTTACACGGCGACTATGTGCGGCGAAGACTTCTTGAACGAACATCCATGTCAGAGTGTGGAGTTACTATCGAGCATTTCAGACACACTCTCTCTGTCATCACTGGTAGGGTTCAGTGTGACGAGTGTTTCCTGCTCATACTGTATTTCTGCCACAACATATTTGCACTACTGGAGGAGCATTGGGTGAAATCATGCAGTGAGCATTCACAATCCATGTTGCTTCATGTTGGTCTATTCTTATTCATTTTGATGGAAAGGGGGGGGAAAACAAACTCCCGGGCTCCATGAAATGCTTCACAATACTGCATGTCATCATTGTGCAGGGGCCCTGCACAAGTTGAATTTTATCTGATTTAACAAAACTGCCTCGTCATACTAAAGTTTAATATATTACAAAATATAGTTGTCATTAAGGTCTGTAATTTATACTTCAGACATTTTTGTACGTGTGTGTTGAATGTTTAATGAAATACAGGGAGAAATAATTTCTTAATATATGAATTGTTTTGGAGTGATAAATGAATGTCAGACCATCTGAATATCCAGAATTGCAATGAAGAAATGTAGAAAATATGTGTACTCAATTGTGGCACACTTTTTGACTCTTATATTTGTGGGGCAATATAATAGCAAGGTATTAGAATTATTGTACACTCAGTTTTACTTAAATGTTCTGCATGCATTTGAAATAAAATTCTTCGTATGTGTGTGGAAATACTAATATGTAATGTGGTATGTTTCGGGTACATGACCCATACAGATGGTTAGAGGACCCTGATTCTTCAGAAACAGCAAAATTTTTCAATGAACAGAATGCCTTGACAAGACCAGTTCTTGAGAACTGTTAAGTTTGTTCTAATATGCTTGCCCGACTAACTGAACTGTGGAATTTTCCAAAATATTCTTGTCCGTATAAACGTGGTGATAAATATTTTTTTTTATAAGAACACAGGACATCAGAATGAAAGGTTCTGCAGTTTGCCTTCATGCATCTGTGAATATTTCATAGTAATGTGGTTGCAGTATATGAAGAAGATTGACTCATACAGAATGTATAAATAGCACTAAGCCTTACTGATTTACTTACTCATGGAGCTGAGCACTTTTTTTTTATTTTTATGGTGAGGAGTTGTTAGCACCATGCCCAACCCCCAAGCTGGAGGACCACCCCTTGTCAGCTGTCCGCGACTGCTTATTCCATATATTCACAGCTACCCACCATACCTGGAGGGCGTCTCCTCTATCTGCAATCTGAGGACATGCCATGCTGTGGTGACAGGGAACCCACCTAACATGGAGCTCTAAGCATATACAGTGATGCTATTGATCACATGTGGTAAGATTGACCGCCTCTGTGGCCTAGTGGTCAGACTTTCTGCCTACAGATCCAGAAGTCCGGGGTCGATTCCCGGAGCTACCAGATTTTCTGAGAAGTAGTGGGTCTGGAACAGAGTCCACTCAGCATCGTGAGGATAACTGAGGAGCTACTTGAACGGAGAAAGTAGCGGCTCCGGTTTAGAAAAACAAAATTGACAACCGTGGAAATTTGTTGCACTCACCACGCACTTCGGGAATCAAACCTGGGACCTCTGGATCTGTAGCCAAGAACTCTGGCCACTAGACCACAGAGGCAGTCTTTTACTTTAAATATATCCAATTTTTATAAAATATAGAGCTGAATTTAAAACTTCTGTGTCTTGATCACTGTCATTGAATGCTGCTTAAGATGGCAACAGAGAAGCTGAAACACAGAGGTGATAATGGATTTTTAATTCTATTAAATTTTAATATTGTTGTATTAAATAGTTTTTGATCTGTTGACATCTGCATGATCAATGCAACTGTAATAAAGTCAACAATTGAATTATCTAGCCAGTTGAACAGAGCCCATCACTGAATTTGGACATAATGAATTAAAAGAAGTGTCTTAATGTGGTCAGAAACATTTTATATTTTCACTGTAACTACAGGTGTCTTAT